CTCCCCAAAAGTCCCTCCAAATTCCCACAAAAATCCCCTAAAATCCCCCAAAACAGCCCCAAATCCCCCCAAATGCTCCCCACAGGGGTGGGTGTGGGAAGGGCCCTCAGCCCCAGCAGCACCGCGGCCACCAGGAGATGTCCCTGTCCCCTGTCCCTGTCCCCTGTCCCCTGTCCCCTGTCCCCTCCTGGTGGCCACCGAGAGATGTTCCCTGGTGGGGAGTTTCCCTGGAATTCTGGTTTTTTCCCCTGGAATTCTGGTGTTTTTTTTTTTTCCCGGGGTTTCTGGTTTCCCTGGGAATTCTGTTTTCCTGGAATTCTGAATCCCTGGATTTTTGTCTCACTGCGTTTCGGATTCCCCCTGGATTTCTCTTTTCTCTGGAATTCTGTCTCCTGGGATTTCTCTTTCCCGGGAATTCTGTTTTCCCTGGAATTCTATTTTTCCTGGAATTCTGGAATTTGCTGGCATTTCTGATTCCCGGGAATTCTGTATTCCCGGGAATTTCTGTCTCCCTGGAATTCTGTTTTCCCTGGAATTCTGTTTCTCTGGGATTTCCATTTCCCAGGATTTCTGTTTTCCTGGAATTCTGATTCCTGGGATTTTTGTTTTCCCGGGATTTCTGTTTCCCTGGAATTCGGTTTTCCCTGGAATTCTGATTCCTGGCAATTCTATTTCCCAGGATTTCTGTTTTTCCTGGATTTCTGATTCCCGGGATTTCTGTTTTTCTGGGATTTCTGTTTCCCTGGAATTCCGATTCCCGGAATTTCTTCTTCCCCGGGGTTTCTGATTCCTGGGAATTCTATTCCCTGGAATTTCTGTTTTCCCTGGAATTCCATTTTATCTGGAATTCTGATTCTCAGGATTCCTCTTTCCCTGGATTTCTGTTCCCTGGAATTTTCGTCTCCCTGGAATTCTGTTTCCCAGGGAATTCTGTCTCCTTGGGATTCTGACTCCCGGAATTTCTGTTCCCTGGGATTTCTCTTCCCAGCTTTAAATCCTGGCCCCAATCCCACCCTCGCGTTCCCTGGAGCCTCCCTCCCTGAAATATTCCCAAATTTGGGATCGCTGCTCCCTCTCCAGGCCCTCTCCCACAGCAGATCCCAAATTTTGGGGCGTTGGATTTGGCTTTGGCCCCGAACCCCCCCGGGAGGTGACAGCGGCCGGGATTAATTCGTTAATTAACCCTGGAATCCAATTAGGAGATTTCCATCCGGGTGCCTCCGAGATAAGAGATCCCAGAAGCGCCCGGGGCCGCTTCCAGAGGGTTCGGGAGCGGCGCTGATCCAGAAGGGCCCCGGGAAATCCTTGGGGGCGGATTTGGGGCGGAGGAAAAACGGGGCTGGGCCCTGAACCCGCCCGGGAAATGTCCCCAAAACACAAAATGTCCCCGAGCCCGCAGGGACAATGAGGGGATGCAGCTGGGGACAATGAGGGGACATTGATGGGACAATGAAGGGACATTGAGGGGACACAGCCGGGGACACTGTGGGGACATTGAGGGGGCATTGAGGGGATTGTGGGGACAATGGGGGGGACAATGGGGGGACATTGTGGGGACATTGAGAGGACAGTGAGGGGACAATGCGGGGACATTGTGGGGACACAGCTGGGGACATTGAGGGGACATTGAGGGGACATTGTGGGGACATTGAGGGGACATTGATGGGACAATGCAGGGATATTGTGGGGACATTGAGGGGACATTGATGGGACAATGAGGGGACACAGCCAGGGACATTGAGGGGACATTGATGGGACAATGCGGGGACATTGTGGGGACACAGCCAGGGACATTGAGGGGACATTGAGGGGGCATTGAGGGGACATTGTGGGGACATTGCGGTGACGGGGACAATGAGGGGACATTGCGGGGACAATGAGGGGACAATGAGGGGACACAGCCGGGGACACTGTGGGGACATTGCGGGAAGATTGTGGGGACATTGAGGGGACATTGTGGGGACACAGCCAGGGACATTGCGGTGACATTGAGGGGATACAGCCGGGGACAATGCAGGGACATTGTGGGAATATTGTGGGGACATTGAGGGAATATTGTGGGGACATTGAGGGGACATTGAGGGGACATAGCTGGGGACATTGAGGGGACACAGCTGGGGACAATGCGGGGACATTGCGGGAATATTGTGGGGGCACTGTGGGGACATTGTGGGGACATTGAGGGGACAGTGTGGGGACATTGCGGGGACATTGTGGGAATATTGTGGGGACATTGAGGGGGCATTGATGGGACAATGAAGGGACACTGTAGGGACAATGCGGGGACATTGAGGGGACACAGCCGGGGACATTGAGGGGACATTGAGGGGACATTGTGGGGATATTGAGGGGACACAGCTGGGGACAATGCAGGGACATTGAGGGGACACAGCCAGGGACACTGTGGGGACAATGCGGGGACAATGAGGGGTCACAGCCGGGGACAATGTGGGGACATCGAGGGGACATTGCAGGGACATTGAGGGTACATTGTGAGGACAGGGCCCCCTGGATGTGTCACCCCCAGAACAAGGACAGGACCCCCTGGATGTGTCACCCCTGAATGTGTCACCCACTTGAATGTGTCACCCCCAGAACAAGGACAGGACCCCCTGGATGTGTCACCCCCCTGGATGTGTCACCCCTGGATGTGTCACCCCCAGGACAGGGACAGGACCCCCTGGATGTGTCACCCCTGGATGTGCCACCCCCAGGACAGGGACAGGACCCCGCTCCCCCTTGTGACACCCAGCACCAACGGCCTCTTCCTTATACAGGAGAAAGTGAAAATGTTGGGGGGGGACACAGCCGGACACCCCCATCCCCCACAGCCCCCCCAGCCCTCCCTGCCCCCCCCAGCCCCCGCACCCCCTTTTGCCCTCCCCGGGGTCCCCCCAGCCCGTTCCCCCTATTGGGAGTTCCCCAGGAACTGAGGGGACGTGAAAGCGGCAGAAAAAAGGGAAGGAAATGGAAATGAAGAGAAGAAAAAGTCCCTGGGGGTGGGGACAGACTCGGAATCTGTCTGGGGTGACCCCCCCCAAAACCACCAGCACCTCGGGGGGGGCTGTGCTGGGCTCTGGGTCACCCCAAAATCTGAGGCACCCAGGGAAGGAGCTGAGACCCATGGGTGCATCCAGCAACCGCCCATGCCCGGCACCCCCATTCCTTTGGGATCCCAGCCATGGCCCCCATTCCTTTGGGATCCCACCATGGGCCCCCATTCCTTTGGGATCCCAGCCATGGCCCCCCATTCCTTTGGGATCCCAACCATGGCCCCCCATTCCTTTGGGATCCCAACCATGGCCCCCCATTCCTTTGGGATCCCAGCCATGGCCCCCCATTCCTTTGGGATCCCAACCATGGCCCCCCATTCCTTTGGGATCCCAACCATGGCACCCCCATTCCTTTGGGATCCCAGCCATGGCACCCCCATTCCTTTGGGATCCCACCATGGGCCCCCCATTCCTTTGGGATCCCAACCATGGCACCCCCATTCCTTTGGAACACAACCATGGCCCCCCCATTCCTTTGGGAACCCAGCCATGGCCCCCATTCCTTTGGGATCCCAACCATGGCACCCCCATTCCTTTGGGATCCCAGCCATGGCACCCCCATTCCTTTGGGAACCGAACCGTGGTACCCCCATTCCTTTGGAACACAACCATGGCCCCCCCATTCCTTTGGAACCCAACCATGGCCCCCCCATTCCTTTGGGAACCCCGCCATGGCCCCCCCATTCCTTTGGGAACCGAACCGTGGTACCCCCATTCCTTTGGGAACCCAACTGTGGCACCCCCATTCCTTTGGAACCCAACTGTGGCACCCCCATTCCTTTGGGATCCCAACCATGGCCCCCCCATTCCTTTGGGATCCCAACCATGGCCCCCCCATTCCTTTGGGAACCCAATTGTGGCACCCCCATTCCTTGTGTCCCTCCCCATCCCTGGGACCCCAACCTGGGACCCCCATTCCCCAGGATCTCCATGGCCCAGCACCCATTCCCAAGGAACCCTTTCCTGTTCATTCCATCCCCTGGAATCCCCCTTCCCCCAGCACCTTGGCTCTTCCAGGACCCCATTCCCACGGGACCCCCCCCATTCCAACAGCACCCCCATCCCATGACCCCAAATCCCTGGAGCCCTCGTTCCCCTGGGACTCCCATCCCTGAGTCCCCTCAGCCCTGGGCACCCCCATTCCCATGGGACCCCCATTCCCAGTGACTCCCCCTCCTCAGGACCCCCAATTCCAGGGACCCCATCCCTGGCACCCCCATTCCCCTGGAAATCAAACCACGGCACCCTCATTTCCTTGTGTCCCCCTATCCCAGTACTCACATTCCCCAGGATCTCCATGGCCCAGGACCCCTGGAATCCCCCTTCCCCCAGCACCTTGATTGTTCCAGGACCCCCATTCCCACGGGACCCCCCCATTCCAACAGCACCCCCATCCCATGACCCCAAATCCCTGGAGCCCTCGTTCCCCTGGCACTCCCATCCCTGAGTCCCCCCAGCCCTGGGCACCTCCATTCCCATTGCACCCCCATTTCCAGTGACTCCCCCTCCTCAGCACCCCCAATCCCACTGCACCCCCATTCCCAGTGACTCCCCCTCTTCAGGACCCCAATTCCAGTGACACCCCCTCCTCAGCACCCCCAATTCCAGTGACACCCCATCCTCAGCACCCCCATTCCCACTGACTCCCCCTCCTCAGCACCCCCCAATCCCAGGGACCCCATTGCCCTGGGACCCCCCCACTCCCCTGGACACCCATCCCTGGCACCCCAAACCCCCTAAGCCCCCACTCCTGGGAGCCCCAATATCCCACCGTGTGCCACCCAGCCTTGTCCCCACCCTGTCCCCATCCTGTCCCCACCCTGCCCCCACCGTGTTCCACCCCCACGTGGGGACAAGATGTAAATTCTCTTCCTTCCCCTTTAGCTCAAGAGCCACCAGGCTGGGGACAGGTGGCCCTGGCAGCGAGTGACAGCTGGGGACAGCGGGATGGCCGGGAGGGTGGCACTGCTCCTGTGGGGTGAGTGCCACGGGGGTGGCAGAGATTGGCGGGGAGGGGGCACAGGGGGGGCACGGGGGTCCCCTGATGTCCCCAAGGCCAGCAGGGCCAGTGGGGGACAGAGCCAGTGTCACCCCAGAGTGGGGTGGCCCTGGGGACAGGGATGGGGGAACAAGGATGGGGGAAAGGATTTGGGGACAGGGATGTGGGACAGGGATGGGGAACAGGGATTTGGGGACAGGGATTGGGGACAGGGATTGGGGACAGGATTTGGGGACGGGGATTGGGGGACAGGGATTGGGGGACAGGGATGTGGGGAGAGGGATGTGGGGACAGATATTGGGGGACAGGAATGTGGGACAGGGATAGGGAACAGGGATTTGGGGACAGGGATGTGAGGACAGATATTGGGGGACAGGGATTTGGGGGGACAGGGATTTGGGGGGACAGGGATGTGGGGAGAGGGATTGGGGGAACAGGGATGTGGGGACAGGGATGTGGGGACAGGGATTTGGGGTTTGGCACTGTGGGGCTGGGGCAGCTGTGGGGACAGGGGGACAGGGACAAGGGGACAAACACCACGAGGATGTGGCCATGGGGACAGGGCCACAGGGATGTGCCTGTGGGGCTGGCAGGGGTGACCCGTGCCAGCCTGGGGTGGCCGCAGTGTCCCCGTGGCGTCTGTGTCACCTGAGCACAGCGCGTGGGCGGCTGTGACAGAGCTGTCCCCTGGGAGCCTCTCCAGACCTGCTGGGGACTGTCCCCGAGCACTTTCCCACCAGAACTGCTGTCCCCACGGGGACAGCTCGGGGACAGTCCCCACACCCCCTGTCCCCGTGCTGCTGTCCCCACGGTGCCACCCTCACCCAGCCCTGTCCCTTCTCCCTTCCAGCCCAGACCCTCGGCCTCGCTGGTGAGTCCTCAGGGGATGCCATGGCCCCACCCCGCTGTCCCCAGCCCCGCACTGGCCCTGCCAGGCTGGTGTCCCCTGTCACCCACAGGTGCCCAGTGCTGGCCCTGGCAGGCTGGTGTCCCCTGTCACCCACAGGTGCCCAGTGCTGGCCCTGCCAGGCTGGTGTCCCCTGTCACCCACAGGTGCCCAGTGCTGGCCCTGGCAGGCTGGTGTCCCCTGTCACCCACAGGTGCCCAGACCACCCAGCTCCTGGTGGAGCCCCCCTGGAGGCCGGCGGTGCTGTGGGACCGGGTGACCCTGACCTGCCAGGGCTTGGGGACCGCCGGTGCCACCACCTGGTACAAGGACGGGCAGCACTGGGGGCAGCAGGGACGTGACCGCCTCATTGTCACCGAGAGTGGCACCTACAGGTGTTACAGACCCGGCACTGGGCGCAGCCCCTCCGTGACAGTCTTAAATGGTGAGGGACGTTTGGGTGTCCCCAGGCTGGCACCCATGGGGACCCCGAGGGCTCTGGGTGGGCTCTGCTCCATGGGTCACCTCCTGTGTGACCAGAGCCCATCCCCTGCTCTGGGGACATCCCAGTGTTGGGGGATCCCAGTGCTGGATTGGGGACCCCTGGTGCGCTGGGTGTCACCCAATGGGGGGTCCCGGTGCCATCGGGTGTGACAGGAGCCCTCTGTCCCCAGATGATCTGGTGCTGCAGGTGCCGGTGTGGGCGCTGCTGGAGGGGGACACGGTGACACTGCGCTGCCGGGGCTGGCGGAACACGAAGGTCACATCGGTGTCCTTCTACCGAGAGGAGACAGAACTGGAGAGGCTCCGTGATGGCCCCGAGCTGTCCCTGTCCCCTCTGCAGCTGAACCACAGCGGCCGCTACAGCTGCAGGGGCAAGGTGGGATACTGGGGGTGGCAGGAGTCAGAGCCGGTGACAGTGACAGTGCACGGTGAGCACCCCACAGCTGCCACCCTGACACCCCCACAGCCCCTCCCCAGGGATGCCGGCTCACAAATCCCCCTCCCCTCTCCCTCCCAGAGCTCTTCACAGAGCCGGTGCTGGTGCTGCAGGGTCCCCCCGAGCCCACCGAGGGGTCCCCCCTGACTCTCAGCTGCCTCAGCACCCGCAGCCCCCTGCGGCCCCGAGCCCCCCTCCTGCACGTGTTCTACCGGGACGGGCAGGTGGTGGGGGGCCCGCAGGGGTCCCCGCAGCTGCTGGTGCCCGCCGTGGGGCTCTCCCACTCGGGGGATTACGGCTGTGAGGTGCGATCCGAGGGTGGGGCCGTGCGGAAGAGCAGCGCCCGGCTCCGCGTCACGGTGCACAGTGAGTGTGGGGATGGGCACGGGGAGCCCCCTCAGCCTCCTGGGATCCCCTGGTCGGGGACCCCCATCACTGCCTGGGGACCCCCAGCCCTCCCTGACACCTTGCCCGGGTCCCCCAGCCCTGACTTGCTGCCCCCAGCCCTTCCCGACTCCATCCTCGGCTTCCCCCATCACTGCCCCGAGTCCTCCCGTCCCTTCCCGGATCCCAGCCCGGGTCCCCCCAATCCCTTCCCGGGTCCCTTCCCGGGTCCCCCAGCCCTACCTGGGGACCCCCAGCCCTCCCTGACACCATCCCCGGCTCTCCCCATCGCTGCCCGGGTCCCTCCCCACTCCTTCCATCCTTCCCCGGCTCCCCTCGCCGTGCCCCGGGTCCCCCCATCCCTTCCCGGGTCCCTTCCCGGGTCCCCCCATTCCTTCCTGGGTCCCTTCCTGGGTCCCCCCATCCCTTCCCGGGTGCCACCCCGGGTCCCCCCATTCCTTCCTGGGTCCCTTCCCGGGTCCCCCCCATCCCTTCCCGGGTCCCTTCCCGGGTCCCCCCATCATTTCCCGGGTCCCCCAGCCCTGTCTGGGCACCCCCATCCTTCCCTGACACCTTTTCCGTGTCCCCCCATTACTGCCCGGGACCCCCATCCCTGTCCCCGGGTCCCCCCATTCCTTCCCAGGTCCCACTCCGGGTCCCCCATTCCTGCCTCGTGTCCCCTCATCTCTGGCCCTGCTCCCCCCCACGCCTTCCCAGGTCCCTCCCCAGGTCCCCCCATCCCTGTCTGTGTCCCCTCAGCCCTCCCTGGTGTCACCCCCCTCCCTCTCCCGGTGTCCCCTCCCTGTCCCCCTCATCCCCCCCGTTTCCAAGCCCCCCCCATCTCTGCACCCCCCTCCCTCCCTGGGGTCCCCCTGCCCCTCCGTGACCCCCCCGGGTCCCTCACTGTCCCCTGGTGTCCCCCCGTCCTGCAGGGGTCCCGCCCTCGGGGGTGTCCCTGTCAGCGCAGCCCCCCGGGGCACAGGTGGCACTTGGGGACAGCCTGGAGCTGAACTGCACGGTGGCCATGGGGACAGGTCCCCTGTCCTTCTCCTGGCACCGGGAGGGCTCGGGGGCACTGCTGGGCACCGGCCCCCACCTGGAGCTGCGCCACCTTGGGGACAATGACAGTGGCCAGTACCAGTGCCGGGTCAGCGACGGGGACAGCGTGGCCGAGAGTGACCCCATGAATGTCACCGTCCTGGGTGAGCGGGACCCTCGGGCTGGGGGTGACCCCCCCATGGCACCCTCATCCCACCCTGCCAGGTGCCAGCCCCGTCTGTGTCCCCACAGTGCCCATGGCCAATGCCACCATCACCCTCAGCCCTGTGTCCCCACAGTGCCCGTGGCCAATGCCACCATCACCCCATGTCCCCTGTCTGTGTCCCCACAGTGCCCATGGCCAATGCCACCATCACCCCCTGTCCTGTGTCCCCACAGTGCCCGTGGCCAATGCCACCATCACCCCCGGTCCCCTGTCACACCAGGTGCGTGCAGGTGACAATGTGACCCTGCACTGCTCGGTGCAGGTGGGCTCAGCCCCTGTCACCTTCACCTGGCTGCACAACGGGCAGGAGGTGGCCCAGGGTCCCCTCCTGGAGTTTGGGGACATCGACGTGGGACATTCGGGCACCTACCAGTGCGTGGCCACCAACCAGCTGGGACAGGACGGGCACCGCGTGTTCCGGGCACTCAGCCCTGAGCTGGCCCTGGAGGTGACAACGTGGGGACATGGGGACACAGGTGATGGCACTCGGGGACACTGCGGGGGGCTTGGAATCCCGGGTTTGTCCCCGGAGGTGACACGGAGGGGACAGAGCAGAGGTGGCATCACTCGAGGGGAGCTTGGAGCCCTGGATTTGTTCCCGCTCTGTCCCCGGTGACACGGAGGGGACACAGAGGGGACACAGATGTGACGGGGCACAGGTGGCGTCACTCGGGGTCGCAGTGGGGGTGCAGCCCCCCCAGGTGACCCCAAAGTGTCCCCTCTGTCCCCAGCAGTGGCTGCAGGGGTTGGCAGCTCCCTCCTGGCCCTGGTCCTGCTCGGGGCGGCCATCGTGGGCTGGCGGCGGTGCCACCGCCAGGGTGGGTGACAATGGGGACAGTGGGGACAATGGGGACAGTGGGATGGGGACAATGGGGACAGTGAGGACAGTGGGGACAATGGGGACAATGGGGACAATGGGGTGGGGACAGTGGGGACAATGGGGACAATGGGGACAGTGGGGACAAAGGGGTGGGGACAATGGGGGAGATAATGGGGGGACAATGGGGACACAGTGGGGACAATGGGGACAAAGGGGTGGGGACAATGGCGACAATGGGGGAGATGATGGGGGACAATGGGGACAATGGGGTGGGGACAATGGGGACAGTGGGACAAAGGGAGCAATGGGGACAATGGGGACAATGTGGTGGACAGTGGGGACAATGAGGACAACGGGGACAATGGGATGGGACAATGGGGGGACACTGGGGACAATGCGGACAATGGGGTGGGGACAGTGGGGACAGTGGGGACAATGGGGTGGGGACAATGGGGACAATGGGGTGGGTGGCAATAGGGACAATTGGGACAACGGGATGGGGACAATTTTGGGGTCCCCTGACCCCATTGTCACCCCATTGTCACCCCATTGTCACCCCATTGTCACCCCCCTTTCCCGCAGCCCCCAGGACAGCCCAGGACAGGTGAGTGGGGGGGCGGCCCGGGGGTGTCCCCGTGTCCCCAGATGCCACCTGGAGGCCACCCCCCGTCCCCATTGTCCCCGCAGGACCCCCGTGGTGTCCCTCGAGGGGGAGGAGGTGCTCTACAGCCACGTGGTGCCCACGGCGAGGGCGGCGGGTGAGCGGGGACAGCGGGTGGCACCGGGGGTGGCACCGGGGGTGGTACCGGGGGTGGCACCGGGGGTGACACCGGGGTCCCAAATGTCACCCCCGGGGAGATGCCGGGTCCCCAAATGGCACCCAGGGGACAGCAGTGACATCAACAGGAATGTGCTGTGATACTGGGGGGCACTGGGGGACACTGGGGTGGCACTGGGGGACACTGGGGGACACTGGGGGCCTGGGGGTGGCACTGGGTGGCACTGGCGGTGGCACATGGTCCCCAACTGCCACCCAGGAGATGGGAGGAGTGCAGGCACAGGGACGTGGCACCCGTGGGTGGCACTGGGTGGCACCGGTGTCTCCTGCAGGGTCCCCAAGTGCCACCCCCGAGGAGCCCCAGGTGACCTACGCGGAGCTGCGGGGACCGAGGTGGCAGCCGGGGGACAGCGGGGACTACGAGAACGTGCTGTGACACCGGGCTGGCACCGGGGGGTGGCACTGGGTCCCCGGTGACACCCAGGGGACAGCGGTGACATCCACGAGACCGTGCTGTGACACCGGGGTGGCACTGGGTGACACTGGGGACAGCCACACGCGTGTGTCCCCTCATTCCCTGGGTGCCCACCCTGCCCGTGGCCACCGTCCCTCTGTCCCTGTCACTGTCCCTGTCCCCTCCCTGTGGCCGCCGGGACCTGTCCCTGTCACTGTTCCTGTCCCTTGTGACCGTGGCCACCACAAGCTGCTGGCAGCTGGCCTTGTCCCCTCCCTGTGGCCACCAGGACCTGTCCCTGTCCCCTCCCTGTGGCCACCATCCCTCTGTCCCTGTCGCCTCCCGGTGGCCACCAGGACCTGTCCCTGTCCCCTCCCTGTGGCCACCATCCCTCTGTCCCTGTCGCCTCCTGGTGGCCACCAGGACCTGTCCCTGTCCCTCTGTCCCTCTGTCCCTCCAAGCCGCAGGAATTTGGGACAATCCCAAGAACGAGCCCAGAGTGACCCCGAGTGCCCCCCGGGGGGGTTTGGGGACAGCCCGGGGGGGTCCCGGGGAGCGGAGCCCCCCCCGATGGAAGGAAGAAAAGTGAAACTTTGATTTCTGTCTCATTTCTCATTTTTCTGGACAATAAATTCAATTCTTGTCCCCAAATCCCGGCCGGGACTGGGGGTGGGGGGGTCCCCAGTGGGGTCCCGGCGGTTTTGGGGGGCTCAGGGTCCGTCCCAACCCCCCCCGGGCAGCTCTGGGGTTGGTCCTCGCTTTGTCCCCAGCGGGGACACGGGGGGACACCGGGGGAGGGGCCGGGACCCCAAAAATGGGACCCCAAAAATGGGACCCCAAAAGCGGGAGGTGGAGGCTCTGGGACCCCAAAAATGGGACCCCAAAAATGGGACCCCAAAAGCGGGAGGTGCAGGCTCTGGGACCCCAAAACTGGGACCCCAAAAATGGGACCCCAGAAGCGGGAGGTGGAGGTTCTGGGACCCCAAAATCCGGGACTTCAGGGAGTAGGACCCCAATAACTGGGATGGGACTCGCAATCACGGCTCCCGGTCCCGGTTCCTGTTCCCAATCCCAGTCCCTGCTTCCATTCCCATTCCCGCTCCGGTTCCCGTTCCCGCTCCCATTCCCGCACCCGTTCCCGCTCCCGTTCCCTCTCCCGTTCCCGATCCAGTTCCCGATCCCGCTCCCATTCCAGTTCCCCATCCCATTCCCATTCCCGCTCCCCATCCCATTCCCGCTCCCCATCCCATTCCCGTTCCCCATCCCATTCCCATTCCCGTTCCCCATCCCATTCCCGTTCCCCATCCCATTCCCATTCCCGCTCTCTTTCCCGTTCCCGTTCTCGCTCCCATTCCCGTTCCCGTTCCTAATCCCGCTCCCGTTCCTCATTCCGTTCCGGGTTTTCCAGGGGGCGTGGCCAGCAGAGGGGGCGTGTCCTTGGGGGCGGGAAGGGGCGTGTCCCGCGGCAGCGCCCCCTGGCGGCCGAGGGCGGAGCGGGCCAAGATGGCGGCGGAGCCGGGTCCGGGCCCGGGGCCCGACGCGGAGCTGGAGGAGCTGCTGGAGAGTGAGGGGGGCCCGGGGGGCACCGGGGGGCACCGGGAGGACCGGGAGTCAGCGGGGTGCGGGGGGGCTGCGCGGCGTTGGGAGCGATGGGGGGCGAGGGGGGCCCGGGGGTCATTGGGGTGAGGGGGGACCGGGGGGAACCGGGGGTCGTGAGGGGCTGGGGGGGACTTTGGGGTGAGGGTCAGTGGAGTGAGGGGCGTCTGGGGGTTGTTGGGGTCCAGGGGGGTCTGGGGGTCACTGGGGTGAGTGGGGGTCTGGGGGTTATTGGGGTCTGGGGGTTGTTGGGGTCCAGGGGGGTCTGGGGGTCATTGGGGTCCAGGGAGTCTGGGGGTCATTGGGGCTCTGGGGGGGATCTGGGGTTATGGGGGTCTGGGGGCTATTGGGGTATAGGGGAATGAGAGTTTTGGGGTGCAGTTACTTGGGTTCAGTTGGGGTGGGTGTTACAGGGGTGCAGTCAGGGGTAGGGGTTATTGTAGTGCAATTTTGGGGTGCAGTTTTTGGGGTAGTGGTTATAGAGGTGCAGTTTTGGGGTAGAGGTTATTGGGGTGCAGTTTTGGGGTGCAGTTTTTGGGGTAGAGATTATTGGGGTGCAGTTTTGGGGTAGGGGTTATTGGGGTATAGTTTTAGGGTGCAGCTTTTGGGGTAGGGGTTATTGGGGTGCAGTTTTTGGGGTGCAGTCAGGCGTAGAGGTTATTGGGGTGCAGTTTTAGGGTGCAGCTTTTGGGGTAGCAGTTATTGGAGTGCAGTTTTGCAGTAGGGGTTATTGGGGTGCAGCTTTAGAGTGCTGTTTTTGGGGTAGGGGTTTTTGGGTTGCAGTTTTTGGGGTGTAGCCAGGGGTAGAGGTTATTGAGGTGCAGTTTTAGGGTGCTGTTTTTGGGGTAGGGGTTTTTGGGGTGCAGTTTTGGGGTGCAGTCAGGGGTAGAGGTTATTGAGGTGCAGTTTTTAGGGTGCAGTTCGGCGTAGAGGTTATTGGGGTGCAGTTTTAGGGTGCAGCTTTTGGGGTAGCAGTTATTGGAGTGCAGTTTTGCAGTATGGGTTATTGGGGTGCAATTTTGCCGTGCCCCTTGCCCACACACATTCCATGGGGCGTTGCCCATCACCTCCCTGTGGGGCTGCACCCCCCATTTCGCTGCCCCCTGACCCCAAATTCCCCCCTCAGGTGCCCTGGACGACTTCGAGCGCAGCCGCCCCGCGCCCCCTCCCGCTGCCGGCTCCTCCTGCCCCCCTTCCCCGCCCTCAGCCGCCGACTCCGCCAAGGTGAGCGCCCCAAAACCGCGGTGCCGCTTCCCGGGGGCCTCTCCGGGGCCGCGCTGACGCCGCCGTGCCGGGCAGGGCTCGCTCTTCTCCTCGCAGGAAAGGTTCTTCCAGGAGCTCTTCGAGGGCGAGCTGGCGGCGCAGGCGGCGGCCGAGTTCCAGGAGGCCATGCAGGAGCTGGCCCGGCAGGAGCCACAGCTGGTGGAGCAGTTCCAGAAGCTCTCGGAGGCTGCTGGGAAAGTCGGTGGGTGGGATGGGGTGGGGTGGAGTGGGGTGGGGTCACAGCACTGGAAAGGGTGTCCTGGTTATCCCCCATGCCAATCCCAAATGGAGTTGTTGCCCTCTTTGGGATTGGGGACAGCACCCCAGCACAACCCCACGTTATTCCCGTTATTCCCATTATTCCCATTATCCCCCAATCCCTAATCCCATCTGGAATTGTTTTCCCTATTTGGGATTGGGGACAGCACCCCAGCAGGGTCCTGCATTATTCCCACTGTTCCCGTTGTTCCCATTATCCCCAAATCCCTAATCCCATCTGGAATTGTTTCCCCTATTTGGGATTGGGGACAGCACCCCAGCAGGGTCCTGCATTGTTCCCATTGTTCCCATCTGGAATTGTTTTCCCTATTTGGGATTGGGGACAGCACCCCAGCAGGGTCCTGCATTGTTCCCATTGTTCCCATTGTTCCCGTTGTTCCCATTGTTCCCATTGTTCCCAATTCCTAATCCCATCTGAAGTTGTTCCCGTGTTTGAGACTGGGGACAGCGCCTTAGTGGGACCCTGCATTATTCCCATTATCCCCAACCCCATCCCATTCCCATTCCTAACCTGATCCCACCCCCATTCCCACCCCATCTCAACCCATCCCAACCCCATCCCATTCCTGACCCCATTCCCATTGCCAACCCCATCCCAATCCCAAATCCATCCCAACCCCACCCCATTCCCATCCAATCCCCATCCCAATCCCAAATTCATCCCATCCCATTCCCACCCCATTTCCAACCCTATCCCAACCCCAAATCCATCCCAACCCCATTCCCACCCCATTCCCAATCCCATCCCAATCCCAAATCCATCCCAATCCCATCCCAACCCCAAACCCATCCCACCCCGCAGGCAGCGACGCGGCCTCGCAGCAGGAATTCACCTCCTGCCTCAAGGAGACCCTGAGCGGGCTGGCCAAGAACGCCAACGACCTCCAGGTACCCCTGCCTCCCTCCCAGCCCTTCCTGGGGGTCCCAGGGGTGTCCCGGGGGCTCACGGGGTCCCGGGGGTCCCACAGAATTCCCCCAGATCCGAGGAGGAGCTGGCCAAGGCCCTGGAGGGGCTGGGGCTGGACGAGGGCGGCGGCGACGGCGTCCTGCCCGTCATGCGCAGCATCATGGAGTCCCTGCTGTCCAAGGACGTGCTCTACCCCTCCCTCAAGGAGATCACCGAGAAGGTGGGACCCCAAAAACCGGGAGGAACCCCAAAAAAACGGGAGGGGATCCCAAAAAACCTGGGGTCCTTTGGGTTGTGGGAAAATCAGGGGTGTCACGGGGTCGTGGTGCTGTCCCTGCTGTCCAAGGACGTGCTCTGCCCCTTCCCTTGAGATCACCGAGAAGGTGGGACCCCAAAAACCGGGAGGGACCCCAAAAACTGGGAAGGGACCCCAAAAAATGAGGAGGGCGACCCCAAAAACCGGGGAGGGGGGGGGTCACCTCTGAAATGGGGAGAAGTTCTGCAAAAACTTGGGGTTCCCTGCTGTCCCCTGTGGGGTCTGTCCCTGTCACCCCCAGGGTTGTACTGGGACATTTCCCCCTTTTCTCTGGGATATCTGGGGTTCACATGGGGGATTTGGGGGTTCACATGGGGGATTTGGGGGTTCACATGGGGGACTTGGGGGTTCCCTTGGTGTCCCTGAGTGTCCCCAGTACCCGGAGTGGCTGTGGCAGCACGAGGGGTCCCTGTCCCTGGAGCGGGGCACAGCAGAGGCTGATGGGGCTGGGATTGGCTGGGATTTGGGGGTTCCACAGGGGAATTGGGGGTTCCCTCGCTGTCCCCTTGATGTCCCCTGGGTGTCCCCAGTACCCGGAGTGGCTGTGGCAGCACGAGGGCTCCCTGTCCCCAGAGCAGCATGCACAGCTTGGGGCGCAGCAGGCACTGATGGGGCTGGGATTTGGGGGTTCCCTCACTGTCCCCTGGGTGTCCCCTCGATGTCCCCAGTACCCAGAGTGGCTGTGGCAGCACGAGGGCTCCCTGTCCCTGGAGCAGCGAGCGCAGTTCAGGGCGCAGCAGGCGCTGATGGGGCTGGGATTTGGGGGTTCCTACAGTGACCCCCGCTGTCCCCTCGCTGTCCCCTGCTGTCCCCAGTACCCGGAGTGGCTGTGGCAGCACGAGGGCTCCCTGTCCCTGGAGCAGCATGCACAATTCAGGGGCAACAGGCGCTGATGGGGCTGGGATTTAGGGGTCTCATGGTGGATTTGGGAGTTCCCATAATGTCCCCTTGATGTCCCCTGGGTGTCCCCAGTACCCGGAGTGGCTGCAGCAGCACGAGGGGTCCCTGTCCCCAGAGCAGCGGGCACAGTTTGGGGGGCAGCAGGCGCTGATGGGGCTGGGATTGGCTGGGATTTGGGGGTTCCTGCAGTGACCCCGCTGTCCCCTCGCTGTCCCCTGGGTGTCCCCAGTACCCAGAGTGGCTGTGGCAGCACGAGGGGTCCCTGTCCCTGGAGCAGGGCACAGCAGAGGCTGATGGGGCTGGGATTGGCTGGGATTTGGGGGATCCTACAATGTCCCCTCACTGTCCCCTGCTGTCCCCAGTACCCGGAGTGGCTGCGGCAGCACGAGGGCTCGCTGTCCCCGGAGCAGCGGGCGCGGTTCTGCCAGCAGCAGGCGCTGATGCTGCGGATCTGCGCCGAGCTGGAGCGGGAGCGGCCGGAGGAGCCCGAGGGGCAGCGCCGGGAGCGCTTCGAGACCCTGCTGGACCTGATGCAGCAGGTGCGGCCCGGGAGTGCCACCCTGGGTCACCCCCGTGTCACCCCCGTGTCACCCCCAGGTCCTTCTGATCCCACCTGGGGCTCTGGGTCACCCCTGTGTCACCCCCTGGGGCCCTGGGTCACCCCCGTGTCACCCCCGTGTCACCCCCGGGTCCCTCTGACCCCACCCGGGGCTCTGGGTCACCCCCGTGTCACCCCCTCCTCCGGGCCCTGGGTCCCCTCTGTGTCCCCTCCATGTCACCCTCGGGTCCCTGGGTCCCCTCTGTGTCCCTTCCATGTCCCCCCCATGTCCCTGGGTCCCCTCTGTGTCCCTTTGTCCCCTCTGACCCTCCCCATGTCCCTCTGTCCTGTCTGTCCCCTCCTGTGTCCCTGTGTCCCCTCTGTGTCCCCATGTCCCCTCTGTGTCCCCATGTCCCCCTCTGTGTCCCCATGTCCCCTCTCATGTCCCCCCCATGTCCCCCCCGTGTCCCCTCTGTGTCCCCTCACAGCTGCAGGACCTGGGCCACCCCCCCAAGGAGCTGGCAGGGGACACGGTGAGTGTTTGGGGACACCCCTGAAGGGTTTGGGGTGGTCCCAAAGAATTGGGGTGGCCCTAAAAAATTGGGGTGGTTCCAAAGAATTGGGGGGACCCCAAAGGATTTGGGGTGAGCTCATGGAATTGGGGAGGTCCCATTAAAATTGGGGTGAGCTCACAGATTTGGGATGGCCTCAAGAGATTTGGAGTGACCTCAAAACATTGGGGTGACCCCACAGAATTGGGGTGACCCCATAGAATTGGGGTGACCCCATAGAACTGGGGTCATCCCACAGAATTGGGGTGACCTCATAAGATTGAGGGTGATCCTATAGATCTGGGGTGATCCCATCGATTTGGGATGACTCCAAAAGAGCTGGGGTGACCCCATACATTTGGGGTGACCCCACAGAACTGGGGCGCCCCTCCAGCTTTGGGGTGACCCCACAGATTTAGGGGGACTTTATATGTTTGGGGTGACCCCATAGCTTTGGGGTGCCCCCCCTGGCTGTGGGATGACCCCATACATTTGGGGTGACCCCACAGGTTTGAAGTGACTCCAGAGCTTTGGGGTTCCCCTCTGGGATTTGGGGTTCCCCCATGGATTTGGGGTTCTCCCCCAGCTGTGGGCTGCCCCTGTGGGGTTTGGGGTGTCCCCACAGTTTTGGGGTGACCCCACAGTTTTGGGGTGACCCCGGTGTTTCCCCCACAGCCGCCAGGACTGAGCCTGACGGGGGAGCAGTGCCGCCTCATGTAGGGCATGTTTGGGGTGACCCCACGGATTTGGGGTGACCCCATGGCTTTGGGGTTCCCCCATGGCTTTGGGGCGCCCCCTGAGCTATGGGGCGCCCCCATGGATTTGGGGTGCTCCCCATGGATTTGGGGTGCCCCCCCTGGATTTGGGGTGCCCCAGCCCTATAAAGGAGGTGAAGAGGAGCCCAGCAGTGGGGTTGGCGCCTCCCCCCACCCCAATTTGGGGTTTTTTTTTTGGGGTGGGGGGCGCAGGGACCCCCCCAGTGTGGGGAGGTGTCCCCCCCTCACCCCTTGGTGACCCCAATAAAGAGTTGGTGACGGGAACGGCTGCGCCTGCTCGGGGACCGTGGGGACACTGGGGGGACACTGGGGACCCTACAGGGACACTGGGGACCCTACAGGGACATTGGGGACATTGGGGACCCTACAGGGACACTGGGGACCCTACAGGGACACTGGGGACATTGGGGACCCTACAGGGACACTGGGGACCCTACAGGGACACTGGGGGGACATTGGGGACCCTACAGGGACATTGGGGACATTGGGGACCCTACAGGGACACTGGGGACCCTACAGGGACACTGGGGACACTGGGGACCCTACAGGGACACTGGGGACCCTACAGGGACATTGGGGACATTAGGAACATTGGGGACCCTACAGGGACATTGGGGACACTACAGGGACATTGGGGACCCTACAGGGACATTGGGGACACTGTGGGAGCATTGGGGACCCTACAGGGACATTGGGGGGACATTGGGGACACTGGGGACCCTACAGGGGCATTGGGGACACTACAGGGACCCTAAACATGCGTGACCCTACAATAACATTGGGATGACCCCATAATGACCCTATAACCCCATTGGTGACCCTAAACAGGGGTGACCCTACAATAACATTGGGATCACCCTTTAATGACCCTATAATGACCCCATTGGTGACCCTAAACAGGGGTGACCCTACAAAAACATTGGGATGACCCTATAATGACGCTATAATGACCCCATAACCCCACTGGGGACCCTACAGTGACCCGAAACAGTGGTGACCCTACAATAACATTGTAGTGACCCTTTAATGACCCTATAACCCCATTGGTGACCCTAAACAGGGGTGACCCTACAATAACATTGGGATGACCCCATAATGACCCCTATAACCCATGGGGACCCTATACTGACCCCATAACCCCATTGGGGACCTTACAGTGACCCTAAACATGCGTGACCCTACAATAACATTGTAGTGACCCTTTAATGACCCTATAATGACCCCATTGGTGACCCTAAACAGCGGTGACCCTACAATAACATTCTGGTGACCCTATAATGACCCCATAACCCCATGGGAACCCTATAATGACCCCATAACCCCACTGGTGACCCTATAGTGACCCTATAACCCATGGGAACCCGATACTGACCCCATAACCCCATGGGGACCCCATACTGACCCCATACCCCATGGGACCCCACAGCGCCCTCACAATAACGGGGTTGGGTATGGGGGGGGGGGGGGGGGGGGGGGGGGTGGTGGGTGCCGTTCCCATGGCAACACCGCCGGTTTTGGGGGGGGGGGGCGCTCCCGTGGCTGTCGCGCAGCGGCCGCTGCCGTAAAGCGGCGCCGGCGCTGCCGCAAAAGCGTCGGCCGGTGCCGCCAAGCGAGGCGGCGGGGGCGGCGCGTTAAAGATGGCGGCGGCGGGGCCCGGTCCCGGGGCCGGCGCTGGAACGGCCGGGGGGACCCGCGGCGCTCTCCACTGAGCCCGGCCGGGATCCGCCGGGAGCCTCCGGGACGCTCGGGTCGGTGCGCGGCCTCCGCCGCTCCCGGTGCGGCCGCGGCCCCCGCGGGTTCCGGGCCTGCCCCGGTCCTGAGGGGGGAATCCCGGGAGGGTCGGGGAGAGCCCGAGGGGGACCCCGAGAGTTCCGGGGAGGGGCTGGGGGAGCCTCTGAGGGAGCCCGGAGGGGTTTGGGGGGGCTCGGAGGGGATTTGGGGGGGCCTGGAGGGGCCCTTGGGGCCTCTGGAGGGGCCCTTAGCGGAGTCCTTGGGGTTTTTGGGGGTTTTGAGGGGGTTTTTGGGGCGTCCCTGCGCCTTTGAGGGATCCCTTAGAGGGGTCCTTGGGTTTTTTGGGGTGTCTTTGGGGGTTCCTTGGAGGTTTTGGGGGTCCCTTGTGGGCTTTGGGGGATTTTAGGGGGTCCTGGAGGGGCCCTTGGGGCCTCTGGCAGGGCCCCTTAGTGGAGTCCTTGGGGTTTTTGGGGCTCCTTGGCGTTTTTGGGGCGTCCCTGCGCCTTTGGGGGATCCCTTAGAGGGGTCCTTGGGATTTTTGGGGTGTCTTGGGGGGTTCGTTTGAGGTTTTGGGGGTCCCTTGGAGGTTTGGGGGGGATTTTAGGGGGTCCTGGGGGGATCCTTGGGGCCTCTGGAGGGGCCCTTAGCAGAGTCCTTGGGGTTTTGGGGGTTTTTGGGGGTTTTGAGGGGGTTTTGGGGTGTCGTTGCGCCTTTGGGGGATCCCTTAGAGGGGTCCTTGGGTTTTTTGGGGTGTCTTGGGGGGTTCGTTTGAGGTTTTTGGGGATTTTAGGGGGTCCTGGGGGGGTTCTTGGTGCCTCTAGGGGGGCCCTTAGCAGAGTCCTTGGGGTTTTTGGGGGTTTTGGGGCTCCGTGGGGGTTTTGAGGGGGTTTTTGGGGCGTCCCTGCGCCTTTGAGGGATCCCTTAGAGGGGTCCTTGGGTTTTTTGGGGTGTCTTGGGGGGTTCCTTGGAGGTTTTGGGGGGATTTTAGGGGGTCCTGGGGGGATCCTTGGGGCCTCTGGGGGGGCCCTTAGCGGAGTCCTTGGGGTTTTTGGGGGTTTTGAGGGGGTTTTTGGGGGTTTTGAGGGGGTTTTTGGGGCGTCCCTGCGCCATGGGGGGATTCCTTAGAGGGGTCCTTGGGTTTTTTGGGGTGTCTTTGGGGGTTCCTTTGAGGTTTTGGGGGGTCCCTTGGAGGTTTTGGGGAATTTTAGGGGGCCCTGGGGGGGCCCTTAGCGAAATCCTTGGGGGTTTTAGGGCTCCTTCGGGGTTTTGGGGCCTCCTTGGCGGTTTTGAGGGGGTTTTTAGGGCGTCCCTGCGCCTTTGAGGGATCCCTTAGAGGGGTCCTTGGGTTTTTTGGGGTGTCTTGGGGGGTTCGTTTGAGGTTTTTGGGGATTTTAGGGGGTCTTGGAGAGGCCCTTGGGGCCTCTGGGGGGGCCCTTAGCGGAGTCCTTGGGGTTTTGGGGGGTTTTGAGGGGGTTTTTGGGGGTTTTGAGGCGGTTTTTAGGGCATCCCTGTGCCTTTGGGGGATTCCTTAGAGGGGTCCTTGGGTTTTTTGGGGTGTCTTGGGGGGTTCGTTTGAGGTTTGGGGGGATTTTAGGGGGTCCTGGGGGGATCCTTGGGGCCTCTGGGGGGGCCCTTAGCGGAGTCCTTGGGGTTTTGGGGGGTTTTGGGGGCTCCTTGGGGGTTTTGAGGGGGTTTTTTAGGGCGTCCCTGCGCCTTTGAGGGATCCCTTAGAGGGGTCCTTGGGTTTTTTGGGGTGTCTTGGGGGGTTCCTTGGAGGTTTTGGGGGTCCCTTGTGGGCTTTGGGGGATTTTAGGGGGTCCTGGAGGGGCCCTTGGGGCCTCTGGCAGGGCCCCTTAGTGGAGTCCTTGGGGTTTTTGGGGCTCCTTGGCGTTTTTGGGGCGTCCCTGCGCCTTTGGGGGATCCCTTAGAGGGGTCCTTGGGATTTTTGGGGTGTCTTGGGGGGTTCGTTTGAGGTTTTTGGGAATTTTAGGGGGTCTTGGAGAGGCCCTTGGGGCCTCTGGGGGGGCCCTTAGCGGAGTCCTTGGGGTTTTTGGGGGTTTTGAGGGGGTTTTTGGGGGTTTTGAGGGGGTTTTTGGGGGTCCCTGTGCCTTTGAGGGATCCCTTAGAGCGGTCCTTGGGTTTTTTGGGGTGTCTTTGGGGGTTCGTGTGAGGTTTTGGGGGTCCCTTGTGGGTTTGGGGGGATTTTAGGGGGTCCTGGAGGGGCCCTTGGGGCCTCTGGCAGGGCCCCTTAGTGGAGTCCTTGGGGTTTTTGGGGCTCCTTTGGGGTTTTTGAGGCTCCTTTGGGGTTTTGGGGCGTCCCTGTGCCTTTGGGGGATCCCTTAGAGGGGTCCTTGGATTTTTTGGGGTGTCCTGGGGGCTTTCTTGGAGGTTTTGGGGGGTCCTGAGAGGGCCCTTGGGGCCTATGGGGGGACCCTTAGGGAGGCCCTTGGGGTTTTTAGGGCTCCTTGGGGGTTTTGGGGGGTCCTTGAGGGTTTTTGGGGGGTCCCTGCACCTTTGGGGGATCCCTTAGAGGGGTCCTTGGGTTTTTGGGGTGTCCTGGGAGGATTTTTTTGGGTTTTGGGGCACGCTTGAGGCTTTTTGGGGGGGGTCCCTGAGACTTTGGGGGTCCCCTGAGATTTTTGGGTTCTGGGAATTTTTGGGGTGACCCCCCCAAGATTTTGGGAGGGGTCTCCGAATATTTTGGGGGGGGGGGTCCCAGAGTTTTTTTGGAGTCTCTTGACATCGGAAAGGGGAATCTGGGAAAGGTCCTGGAGTTTTTGGGGAAATCCCTGAATTTTTAGGGTTCCCAGGGATTGGGGGGAACCCCAAAAATTTGAGAATCCCCAAAAATTTGGGGTCCTCAGGGAATGGAGGGAATTTTATGGAGGGATTGAGGAGGGGGGCTCCCCAAAATTTGGGGATTCCCAAAGACCAAGGTTTGGGAGAGATCCCCAAAATTTGGGGTTTTTCAGGGATTGAGGGGGTTCCCAACAATTTTGGGGGATTCCCAAAAATCTGAGGGGATTTCCCAGGGATTGGGGGGGTCCCCAGGGATGGGGGGGTCCCCAAAATTGGGGATCCCTGACCTTTGACCCCGCGCTCCCCCAGCTCCAGCCCCGCTGTCCCCGGCACCTGGCCCAGGTGAGTGCGCCCGGCTCCCGCGGGTTTGGGGCATTTTTGGGGTTTTTGGGGTTTTTGGGATTTCTCCAGGATTTGGGAAACTCCTGGGAATGTTCCTGGGTTCCATCCCAAGGGATTTGGGGTCTCCATCCTGAGGGATTTGGGGATTTCATCCCAAAGAGTTTGGGGGGATCTGTTCCTGAGGATTTGGGGAATCTGTCCCAAGAATTTGGGGTTCCATTCCTGAGAGATTTGGGGATTTCATCCCAAAGGATTTGGGGGATCCATCCCAAAGGAATTGGGGTTCCATTCCTGAGGGATTTGGGGGTTACATACCAGAGGATTTGGGGAATCCATCCCAAAGGATTTGGGGATACATTCGTGAGGATTTGGGGGATCAATCCCAAAGAATT